TCACTGGTTTCCAGCCTGCAGAGCCAACTGCACTGAGTGGGGCTAGTCGATTGTAGCTGACGCCCGTTAGGCAGCATCCTGTTTTCCCAACAGTTGTCGAGTGGGAGGGACTACCTAAATTTCAACCGCATACATTGGACGTAGGAGTACCATATTGTTATAGAAATCAAACAAGTGGCCTTATTGATGATAGGGATGAAATACGAGAAATGTGTCAACTGGGGCCTAGATTACGATGCCCTCGGTCCGAAACAAGATGTTGATGAAGACAGTGACAATGAAATAGTACCAGACAGTGACGATAATGGCGAATGAAAATTGTTATTTATTTCTTGGAAAATATTTTAAATTGTTGTATTGAATCTTTAATGCTAAATATCAATTAGATTTAACCCTATTGAAAATATAGTTTTATTTCAGAAATTTTGCAAACTGAATCTTTACAGACATTTAGTAAAATAAAAATACTGCAACAAAACACTACGTTTATCCTTGATAATTGGGCACATTGGATGAACTTCCACCTGGAGCTGAATTACCACCGTTTCTCAAATTAGCTGAAGGACATTTACAGCGATCGTGTCCTGTTTGGAAACATATGCCACATTTACGCGCATAAACGGTATCACCAACATCCATTTGTTTCCGTATCCACATTTTTTTTGCACTTCCCGTTGACACACATAATCCTTGTTACACACCATTTTAAATAGTTCCGGAGGCCAATAATACTCCGTACTCACTGGCTGCAATTATCCACTATAGGTGTTTACGTATGCAGCAACACTATATTCTTTATCAACGTATCTCGTTGCCGCACAACCTGTATGTTGAAAGCACTTCATGGTATGCGAGCATGGCAAGTGATAGATTGACCATTTTCCACACGAGCATAATCTTCTGGATTCATTGACGGTGTGCGTATTATTCCTGCGATTTTGATGCAGACCAGTACAAACTTCAAAAATATTTCGCTCGCTGCAATACTGCAAAAATATATGCCACTGTGCTCGCTTCCTATATTTCTCAAATTGTCTCATTGGCTGTGGTATAAATTCAACACCCCGTTCCATCAATGACGATGCACCTTTACTCCTCCATCTGCTTGAATGACATCCGCACTATGGCAGTGACAGACAATTCACGTGCAGACTTCAACAACCCGTTGAAAGATTCTGACACATTTGAAGTCAAAATTCTCCATCTTATACCACCATCCTTATGCAAAGTCCACTTGTCAAGCTCATGTCGCATCAACCAACAAAAGGCTTCTGGGTCTTCCTGCCTAATCAATTCCATTTGCCTCCTGAATTTACACTTTTGGTGATCTGTTGCAGGTATCCATATTAAATCATGTAAGTCCTTATTCGGATGAGCCCTCTGGAAGTTGGCCTTCAAGTTCCTAACGCAGTAACAGTGGTAGGTATATAGTTCCTGCCATGCACGCAAATTCTGTACAGAACTTAAAATACTGCCATGTCGATAAGATATTAGATAAATACTTGAACGCTGTCTGACAACGTGCTCCTTCAAGTGGTTCAAAAACAATATCCGTCTCTTGGATTTCATTGGCACAAATAGCAAATGCGAGGGAAAATATGCTTCCATTAGCATCTACTACAACGGCGATCAACAACTTAATATCATACTTTTAATAGACATGAGTGTCGTCTATGGATAATACCGGCCGGCAATGCACAAAACCATCAATGGCTGGTTTAAATGCCCATAACACATATCTGAATATGAATTCTTGTATCCCCGGACTCCGCTCTAGCTTCCATTCAACAATAGTCCCGGATTTAAAGTGTTGCAATGCAGCCATGTACCTGGGTAGAGTGGCAAAGGACTTATCCCAATTACCATAAACAATCTCAAACACACGTTTACGCTCGAGAAATGTCTTTCTTTTAGTAATGGTACATCCATATACCTGGTGGATAGATGTTATACACTCTTTAATCTTGTACCTTATGGACGATTCAATGAGTGGAATCAAGACAAGAAAAATCAAGTCAACATTCAAGTTAAAATGATTCCAACTGAATGTGTCCATTTCACAAGTGTGGGTGCCAATATATTTTTCCACAATCCATATATTTATTTTTAACTTTCTCGCACGCAACATCCATGTACAACCTTGAAACCATCTACGACAAATAACCTTGTATACTTTCGGAGATGACTCATGAACCACGATCTCAGGACACTCTTTTATGTTGTACATTCGCACCACCCTGCTTAGGTGCGCTTTATCAACAAAAAGCATATTCTTTGATAGCACCGTTAGTCTAGATTTATCCCACATTACTGTCCGAATGTCATCAAGATCCTTGTGAGGGCATCCACATCCGGCATACTGGGCAACTGATCAAGGTAGGGAATCTCCCTTGAATGAAACAACACATGGGACTCGTACACTCTGGGTCTAACGGGAGGTGGAGTGTGCGTCAAATCAGGTTCATCATTCTCATCCTCATCATCATCACCCTCATTAGGGAAGGGTGTGTCATCTCCAAACTCATCAGCATTGTTGTTATAATCACTATCATCTTCCTGACTCTGCGCATCTGCCAAATCCCGATTTAATATATCGTCTTCGGGCAATTGAGTAAGGACAGGACCTTCAAGTTGCTCGTTTTCACTGCACAACCAATAAAATAATGAGTTAATCAAATTCATCCAAACATTACATATAAACTTTATCACTTAACTTACAAATCATAATCTGTTGATATCCCATGATGTACATTATCCTGTTGCTGATGACTCCCGGATGGACCACCATGATCCAACAAACCAAAACTAGGCATATTCCAATTGTCTGTTGGTTCATAAATTATAAAATTCATATCTGGCCGGTACCCCCTTTGGAATATATGAGTGTTAATACAAATATAATATATAAAAAAAAAATATCGTAATACAAAGAAAAATTGAAATTTACCACTCGACTTGTGAATTATGTAAACTTGGAGAGAAATTATGTCCTCACTCCTCATTCGTCCGTGGAGATAAGTTTAGATCTGGCCAAACTCTTTTAAACGGAACCTGTTCGGATAAAACTGCTTCAAAAAAACTACCCGATGATTGAGGGTTATCCCTATTTTGCGGAACCTCAATATTGCGAACGTCTTCAGCCTTGACGTACATTTTCAATATTTTTATCACAAGAAGTTTCTGGTGTTCATCCGGAGTCCTCAAAAAATCTGTCAGAGTTTCATCGTCTTCGATGTTAAACTAAGCATAACAGGCAACCCCTTGCGGAGTAACAGAATACGGATATCTTCTGGTTACTTTGATATTAATCGAACGTTTCCTCACACTCATTTTTTACATAACAACGATGCCAATCTATCATACTCCGTTGTAAGTGGCAACTTAACATGACACTGTAGAGAACAACTATACCGTACTGAGTTATTCTCCACTACAACCTCACCCCCCAATATAATACAACCCTAATTTTTCGCTCTTCGGATATTGTGACAAAATGCAAAATAAGTTAAGCAAACAAATATTTCGGAAGACCTAAAGGATCCTGAATGGATTTTTACCGAATTTTGAAACTCCTTAAATAAGCAAAAAATCAGTCTATATATGTAGCGCGTATTATGTATGCGCTATACCCTCAATTATTGGTGGGTCAGTAAAGTTTACATATAGCGACCCATGCGCTATACCTTAACGGACAAACGTGCCGTTAAGATATAGTGCATTGAAGACATGCGTTATATATAAATTGGTCCTTAGTTTTTTTTTTAACCTATTTTTGTGGTTTGAGTCCAAATAAAGTAAACACTTTGGTTCCCGACTCTTGTTTAGATTGCTTTGATGACTTAAGCATATTGGATTTTCTGACTACATGTTTGTCTCTATTCTACAATTATAAATAGCGGTTACTTTAGGTTGGATGGTCTTCAAATTTTCTCGAAAAATAAAAAATGTTTGTCGTAAAAGAAGACACATCAAATCATCAATTATACATCCAAGATTCTAGTTTATGATTTTGCTCAAGAGGATTTTATACATCATCACCAAGCTCTTAAATATTGAGAAGTCTAGTAGATTGTATTCTTAAATATTGAACGTAACTTATGCCTGAAATAAATACTTTGAGAGAATATTCTTATAAATCTAATATTACGTTTTCGATTCCATTTCACACAATGATGTTTGACTAAGTGACATGGAATTACATGTCTTATATTGGTTAAAGTAAGAAACTAAATTTAGCACATCAGGCATTAAAGTATGAGTAGTTTAAAAATTTTGAACTTTTGTGGGTTGATAAAGCTGTATAGAAATGGAATAATGTCAAACATTTCCAAATACATTAAAAAAAATAAAAGAATATCATATAAATTGAAATGAATAAATTAGAAATTTTGCTGATGAATGTCTAGCATGTTTGGAAGGACAATGTTAACATCTTATCACTCTATTTCAAATAAAATAGATGAAGCAACCCTGCAAGGATTCCAAACTAAGGTATGTTCAAAGCTCGATATATATATTATATCTCACCAAATGCTGTTAGTTTCATGTTTCTATATGTTGTTAATTAATAATTAGATCAGAGGTAGATCAAGAGATGCAGAAAGTGGGTCGAATTATGAGATGCAAATTGAGCGCAACTCTTAATTAGAGTGTAAGCGGATCCAGAATTTGATGATTGCGGGTGCTACTGTATTTAATGTACAGTAATGAGAGGTTGAATTTGGGTATACATGAAATTGGCCGGTTCGCTCTATTTTAGACGTCAGTGTCCTAGTTTTGGCACCAAAGAAGCTTAGTTTTCATCCGAAAAAGCTACTTTGAACCCTGTATTGACTTACCAGTTGCATGACTGTGTCAACACGTAGTACAAACGTACTTCTTGTCCTAAACACAGGATTATCATCCAACCATAATAACCAACATTAACGGTCATCATTTTCCCATATTGTTTTATTTTCCAAAGTACAGGAGGTATATATATATATCCAAATACCCCTCTCCCACCCTCTTTCTCTCCCTCTGCCTCGTTTGATTTTCCTTCTCAATTAGGAATGTATTGATCTTTTTCCTGGATTAAATATTGTAGAGGTGTAGAACATCATCTTTTTCTGCAATTAAGTGCAACATTCCATTTCCCCATTTCCAGGTACCCTAATGATCATCTTCTTTCCTTCTCTTTATATGCACGTATGAGAATCTAGTATATAAGTCGTGGATGCACGTGTACGTATTAGCTAGTGTTTGTTCATGCATGCATGCCATGGATATATAACAATTATTAAAAAATAACGTTAAATGACATGCTTTCAATCTATGTCCATGGTTCAAATGTATAATTTTATGTGTATTTTGTGGTTTTATATATTTTCAATATTTATTGCAGGACTGTGAATGAGGAAAGGGCAAATCCAATCATGAATATATGGCCACATCCGATCCATTGTAAGAGGGAGGAATTTGGGACAGAGGCGAATCCAAGCAAATATTTGAGGATTAGAGCCAATGATACCACATAGACTATAAGCCTTGGCAGTTTTCCTTTTTCCCCCTCCATTTGTTTCCAATTTGGTGGATGTTTGTAGGATAATGGATTCTGAAAAATCGGCCTTGTCAACCAGACCGGTCAAATGTTGTGATCGCGAGTGCAGTTGTTGTATGATGAAAAGATCCTTTTCAGGGACTTGGTTTCGGTCTGTGAAGCGGAAGTATGATGAGTCGTCATGTGCTGAAGGTGATGAGAAAAAGCTTTTCATCTTACCTCAAACAGCTCGTGTTGAATTCGAAAACGAATGTGCAGCCCTTCGGGAAATGGTGAGCAGCCAACAACAGATAATTAAGGACTTAAGCAGTGAGTTGGAGGAAGAAAGAAATGCATCCTCCTCAGCAGCCAAAGAGGCAATGTCAATGATATTGAGGGTGCAAAGAGAAAAGGCAGAAGCTCAAATGGAATTAAAACAATTCAAGAGGTTGACTGAAGAGGAAAAGGCACATGACCAGCTGGAGATTATGGCATTGGAGGATTTGTTGTACAAAAGGGAGCAAACAATTCAGTCCTTGACTTGTGAGGTACAAATGTATAAGCACAGAATGATGAGTTATGGCCTCACCGAATCTGAGGTGGAGGGAGAGAATGGGGGCGGCTGTTTTAGCCGAAACAATAGTACTATGGCTGATGAGACTATAATTGATCAAATCCCTACATATGATTACCCTCCCTTGAAATGCTATACAAATGAGAATCAAGTTTACTCAGAGGTGGTGGATATCGAGGACGAGAAATATGCATTTGGAGAGACCCCATGTTCGCATGATCAATTGCGAGATTTGGAGGATAGGATCAATCAGTTGGAGAAGACACCAAGAAGCACTACTGATGGAGAGTTATTTAAGAACAATGTCCTTGAAAAGTTTATAGTTGGTCACTCCCCAAGGAGGCTGAGACATTTAAGGAAATACTCAACTGATAGTTTAGCTTCTCCTTTTGCAAAAATTAAAGAAATAAGCTCAGATTTCACTAGGAAACAACAGTCACAAACAGAGGAGTATCCAAAGGTGGATAATTCATCACAAGTGGGAGATGACATGAGTGACAGAGTGTACACTATTGATTCTATACACCAGGAGGCTAGATACAACGTCGACCCCAAGGCAACGGCTGGAATAGCTGATGATTATATAGTTACCCCAAGGGAGTCATTCAATCATACAGATTTTGGAGATCCTGAGGTCACTAAACTGTACCTTAGGCTTCAGGCACTAGAGGCTGATCGCGAGTCAATGAGGCAGGCTATTATTTCTATGCGGACTGATAATGCACAGATGGTATTGCTCAAGGAGATTGCTCAGCAGTTGTGCAAAGAGATGTCACCTGCAGCGAAGACACGAGTTAGGAAGCCATCTGTAATTGGGGGCTTTTCACTCATGTCAGCTTTCAAGGTACAATAACTAGAATAACGATGATCAATATGTCCTGTTTCCCAGTAAATTGTCATTTCAGTTCACAATATATGATGCATAAGGTTTTTGTCCAAGATATTGCAAAGGTAACAGAAACAAGGTTACTCAATTTTGTCAATTTCACTTGATTTTTTCCTTAATCGATGACTATATTAGTTCTGAAATAATGTACTTGTACAGGACATTTTGAAGCATCTTTTTTTGTTAAGAATTAGCAAAAGCTACTTCTTGCCTTATGATATGAAAACTTGCCACCCTTGCTCCACCTCATCTGATCCCCCCCCCCGGGGGGGGATCTGGTTTCCTTTTGGTCCTTGTCATGGTTTACTACAGCTGACATATTTGTCTATTTATTTCTATTCAGTGGATTATATCCCTTGTTCTATGGAGAAGAAAAGCACGCCGATGNGCGATGCAAGTGAGTTGATTTTTGCCCAAGCTAGTTTCTAGTATTAGCTAGTTGATCAAACTGGCAGTACTCAAATACTCCTAACTTATTATGAAACTTGTATAGGTACATGTTTGGAATGTCAACCAAGAATACAGGGTTGAGAATGCTCTTAGACAAAGGACCGCGTGTGGGGCGTTGGAGATGTATCTCCAGTACACAGGTGAGAAAAACCAGTTCTCAAAACAGCANCCGATGCAAGTGAGTTGATTTTCGCCCAAGCTACTTTCTAGTATTAGCAAGTTGATCAAATTGGCAGTACTCAAATACTCCTAACTTATTATGAAACTTGTATAGGTACATGTTTGGAATGTCAGCCAAGAATACAGGGTTGAGAATGCTTCTAGACAAGGGACCTCGTGTGGGGCGTTGGAGATGTATCTCCAGTACACAGGTGAGAAAAACCAGTTCTCAAAACAGCAATGTGTTCTTACTCTAGAGAAGAGTTACTATCTGTTTACTCTTGCATTTTGACAAGTCCAAAACCCAAATCTATATGATGGATATTATTGCATCTTAGATGATCAAGAGAGCCTGTTGTGATACTAGGGATGTCATTATAATTGTCTATTTTAGATAAGTATAAGTATTCAGATTCATCTTTCATGATACTTTTAAATTTTAATTGTGGCAGGTGCCATCTCCCATGTACAAGGACCGATGGATTGGAATAGAGAACTTGAAGGACTTGTAGTATGAAGTCACATCTAATGGATAACATTGAACTTTTACAATTGTTTAGGGGCTTTCTGGGCCTTGCAATATTTGTTCCCTACCAAGGAATGTAATTTTGTTTCGGCCCCTTAGAAATCAGAAACTCCTTTGTGTTGTTACCCGTATTCTTTTTATTCTAAAGTTTCATTTACCCCTAATTTTTATGGATTTAAGTTGTATATACTTTTTACATTGTCAATGCGTAGAACTAACTATGTTCTCATTACCCCTATTGATCTCATCAAACTCAATTTGACTCATATAACTACTGATAACCTCAAATTAAGAATGATCTTACTGAATTATGAAGCATAGCATGCACAAAGACATACTCTTAGAGGAAACTTTCATGATTTCATTTTGGACTTCTAGGAGGAAAAATATCAATTGTGCAACTCCATCTACAACTAAAAGGTGGACATCCTTACCAGACTCAGTTAACCATGGACGCAAAGCAAACATATGGTGGTTATACGAAGTATAAACAAAGAAGGCAAAATACATACTTTATCTATCGACCTAGTCCCCAAATTCCTCTTACACACCTGTTAAAGAAGGGAATAATATTACATACCAAAACTTTTAAAGGTGTGTCAATTACACACCACTTTGGTGTTTGACCACATCTACTTAAAGATTACTATTACACGCGCCAATCAGCATCTGACACGTGTCATAAATCGAAAAAGAAAAGAAAAACGGGAAAAAAACTCTGCCCCCTCCCCCNCTCCACCACCATCATATTACCACCAACCCTTCCACTACAAGCACCTTCTTCTCTAACTATAGATTCAACTCTTTGCCTGATTTTTAACAAGTTTTAATAACATCCATCACAAATCTTTATACAAATTTCAAATTCAAGCTCAAACCCAAAGCTTCAAACTTGTTAATGGTATTTTTTGAATTTTATCAAAATTAATCACCTAAGTAAATTTTTATTCAACAATAATCACAAATTCAATTAATTTTCTAGGTCATGGAACACTAAAATTAACAAGACCCGATTAAATTTAATTTCAAACTTTTCAAAAGATCAATAATGGTAATTTTTACAAGACCCAATAGCTCTTCTTTTCTTTTTCTTTTTCTTTTTATTTTTCTTTTTCTTCTTAGTCATGAGGGTTGGAGAGACGAAATATGAGGAATAGACAAAACTAGGATGGAGGTTGGGGAAGAAGACGAAGGGTGTGGGGGTAGAGAACGCTGGAGTGTTGGTTGGGGAAGAAGACATGAGTTATTTTTTTCTTTAATTTGGAAAGAAAATAGTTAAAAAAAAAGGAAAAATTTAAAAAAATTAATTTCAGATGAATTTTGTAGTTTTTACGCGCCACTTTTATGTGTTGACACATGGCAAAAGAGGTGTATAATTGACACATTTTTAAAAGTTTTGGTGTGTAATATTATTCTCGTGTTTAACATGTGTGTAAGAGGAATTTGAGTACAAGGTCAGTGAGTAAACTATATATTTTGCCAGCAAAGAATCACTGTAACCGGCAACACTAAGCTGTCATGTTTAGTAGCTATAGACACCAGCTCAAAAAACGCACAACAGAGTCACAAGAGCATATTCCAATTATTGTCAATGTTTTATACATGCAGAAAAAATTATGTGGTGACGATGGAGTAGCGCGTGAGCAAAAGAAGCATGAAGAGAGAGAGAAAGAGAGCTCCCAGATATGATATATAGTTAATGAAATTCCAAGAAACTAATTTATCAATTACAGAGTCAAACTTGATAGTTTGATCAGTGGAAGACATTTCAAATGAGTGACTCACGCCATGACTCATGGAGCAACTAACTGAGAATGTGAACCTTACCAAGCCATTCCTGGTGCCACAACTCATCAGCCTATGAAACCTAAAGAATCACACAAGTCAAAATTAACATTTAAAACAGAATGAACAAAAACACAATTACAAAGCTGATATACCTATACTTTCTTGGGACACATTTCTGAAACTGATGAGGAAAAATAGATGTACATCTCTCATTTGTTATAATGCTATTTGTCACGACCCAAAATCTCACCTGTCGTGATGGCGGCTATCTTGGTATTAGGCAAGCCTCAACTCAACATCTCAAACACAGTAGAAATTTTAAATAAAGGCAAAAACAGTTAATATTAAATAAAACCTTTAAGAATAAAATATAACTCCAAAAGTATTAAACAATCCATCCCCAAAACCCGGTGTCACTGAATGCATGAGCATCTAAATGATAACAACATCCGACTGATAAAACACTATCTGAAAATATAGAACAGTAGAATATGAAAGGAAAGGAGAGTCAAGGTCAGCAAACGCCATGCAACTACCTCAATAGTCTCCTGAGTCTAACTCCTCAATCAGCAACCGCCATGACCAGAAGTGTCTGGATCTTTACACGAGGTACAGGGGTAACGTGAGTACACCAACTCAGTAAGTAACAGAAATAAATAAGGAACTGAGAAGTAGTGACAAGCTATGCAAATACAGTTATCTCAATAACTTTCAAATAAAAGTAGTCATACTTTCAATTTAACAGTTTAAGTCTCATCAGTGCGTACTCAAATAAATCAGATATCAAATATTCCAGAAATATGTACGACAGGGACAAATAACAACTAAGTGTAGCAAATAACTGAAAACAAATATGGCCTCTCAAGGCAACAGTCGCTCAGCCCATCTCAACAGCTCAATCACTCGGCTCTCAGCCCTCAATAATCATACTCAATAGGTACTTGCGCTCACTGGGGTGTCATACTACGGAGGGGCTCCTTCAGCCCAAGCGCTATAAACTGCACGGACAACTCACATGCTATAGTATCAATATCTAGATCCGCACGGACAACTCATGTGTTGCACGGACAACTCATGTGCTATAGTATCAATATCTGGATCCGCACGGGCAACTCACGTGCTGCACGGACAACTCACGTGCTGCACGGACAACTCACGTGCTATAGTATCAATATCTCACAACTAGGCCCTCGGCCTTACTCAGTCATCAATCTCTCCAGTCTCTCGAACTCTCAGAAATCATATAAATAGCCCAAACAGAAGTAATATCATGTATCATCAATAAATAGTAAGAGACAAAGGCATAATAAACAAGAAAAGCTATGACTGAGTACAAACAGTAATTTAGCAGCTAATTCAGCAAGTACACGACCTCTCAGGTCTCAACAGTGATCACATAAGGTCTAAACATGATTTCTAACATGAAGTACAATCAATTTCTATGAAAACAGAGGGAACATATATTAAACATTAGGTCAATTGATTCCACAGTCTAGCAGGACGGACCAAGTCACAATCCCTACGGTTCACGCCCACATGCACGTCACCTAGCATGTGCGTCACCTCCAAAATATTCATACGACACAATGTCCGGGGTTTCATACCCTCAGGACCAGATTTATAAACGTTACTTACCTCAATCCGAGCAAAATCCTACTCCGCAATGCCTTTTCTTCTCAAATCGACCTCCGAATGCCTCGAATCTAACCACAATAATTTGATTCAGTCAATAAAAATTTTTGGAATTAATTCTATATGAAATTCTACATTTTCCATTAAAAATCCGAAATTGCACAAAAAATTTGCCTGTCGGGACCACGTCTCGAAACCCGACAAAAATTACGGAATATGAACCCCCATCCAACCACGAGTCCAACCATACAAATTTTACCAAAATCCGACAACAATTCAGCCTCCAAATCATCAAATCTTATTTTCAAATCCCTAGGCCCAAATTCCCGATTTACACCTCAAAAATACGTAATCTAGCCGGGATATTCAATGTAATTCAATAATATTGACTAATAATGATCACAAGGGACTTACCTTAAGAATTCCCATGATTCCTCGCTCAAAATTGCCCAAAATCCGAGCTCGAAAGTCAAAAAAAAACCTGAACTATTCACTGTTGGACTTAAATCTGTCCAGAATTTTTACGGTACTGTTCACGCATGTTACTCTTCACGCATGTTACTCTTCACACTACTGTACACGTCTACTATTCAAGGTTACTGTGCACAGACTATTCACGGCTACTATTCATGTTGCTGTGAAAAAAATGCAGCAGATGCCCAAAGAGAATTTCAGCAGCTTTTCTATCCGTTAACCTTCCGAAATCCACCCGAGGCCCTCGGGACCTCAACAAAATACATCAACCAGTCCTAAAACATCATACGAACTTAGTCGAAACCTCAAATTACATCAAATAACGCTAAAACCGTGAATCATACCCCAATTCAAACCTAATGAAACTAGGAACGTCCAACTTCTATATTCGATGCAAAAATCTATCAAATCAAATCCGATTGACTTCAAATTTTGCACACAAGTCATAAATGACATAAAGAAGCTATAAAAAATTTCAAAACTGGATTCCGACCCCGATATCAAAAGTCAACCCTCGGTCAAACTTTCCAAAAATCTTCTATTTTCCAACTTTCGCCAAAATGGCCCGAATTATCCTACAAACTTCCAAATCCAAATCCAAACATGCG